CAGGAGGCTGCTGCAGGCATCAGGAGACAGCCATGGTGCTTTGGACAAAAGTGAGAGAGGGGTCAGCTGACACACTGGACTGGGCTGAAAATAGAGGATTCCAGGATGGCATTAAGGTTTCTGACCTGAGCACATGGAGGGCGGCGGACCGGGTTTCGATCTGGGAGGGCCAGGAAAACTGGAAGGACTGCTGAAAGAGAAGGTTTGGGGTGGGGGTGATGAGCAGGAGCTCAATGCCAGAGTAATGACACTTGAGATGCTGACCAGATGGAGAGGAGAGGTCTGGTGACATGGGGCACACACACTTGGAGTCAAGTGAGTGACTTGGGCATCATCCTCGATCTGTTGTGTATTTTTTAAAAAGTGTTTTAAATAGAAAATTCCAAACACATATACAAGCAGAGGAGTACAATGATCCCCAGATGAAGCAGCCAATGCTTTATGCTGTTTCTGGTTGGTATTTAAGTCCTTGAGACTGGATGGCAGTGTAGAAAGGTGAGGAAGAGGGTGACCACATTGCGGACAACTCCATCATTAAAAGGTTGGAGGAGGAACCACCAAAACAGACTGAAAAGAAGCAGCGGATGAAGTAAGGAGGCACCCCAGATTCTATATTCTGGAGCACCTGGAAGCCAAGTGAAGAAACAAACCATCCCCAGCTCACAATTAACTACAGTGCGCGTGCTTGGAAGAAAAAGAAGAATACAGTGAGTGTATATACCATGAAACTAGCCTAGTTGGGGGCTCAGGCAAGGGCTCTTCAAGGTGGTGACATTCAAGAAGCAGCTGTCCCTCACCCTCTCTGTGTCCACCCAAAGTCCACCCTCCTGCTTGCACCCTGACCACCAGCTTCTTTCTGAAAGACGGTGTTAATTGAAACTACTTCCAGCCACTAGGGGGCGCTGGTGACCTAAGGTTGAGAAAGAGCTTGGTCCTCAGGAAGCTTGTACTCCAGCTGGAGAGACCGGTGAGTATTCCAAGGCTCATTGTTGCGACTGCCTAGGGCCAGGCAGGAAGGCTCACCAGAGTTAACACAAGAATGGACTAGAAGTTAGAGCCCTCTGGTTTCCTCTCACCCCCTTACCACCCTTCAGCAGTGTTAACTGAAGTGTTAATTCTTGGCCATAATCTTGAGCTGCAGATCTTGCTGGGACTGTGTAGCCTGGTGGATATCCTGACCTCAGTGCTGAGCTTTGCTCTCTTCAGCCTCAGACCCCTGAAGGCCCTTTCTCATCTGCTCTGCCGTCCTTTGCTCTGGACACTGGTAAACTCAGGACTCACGTTGGAGCAGTTGGTTCTGAAAGCAGTACAGGACAGGTGGTAAAAGGCTGTGGGTAAATCAGTAACAAGAACTGTAGAATAGGAATCTGCAATCCAGTCAAAATGAGGGGGGATGTTAGGGCCTACTCTGTCCACCGGGGATTGCCATTTACCAGAACAGGGTGCAAAGTAAAGGCTGAAGGGACAGTCTTGCAGGACTACAAGCTCCATTCGTGTCACCCACCTTAAGCTGGTCTTCTGACTCCTGCCCCATCCTTTTCCATGCTCCTATCCACAGTGCAACTTGCCTTCCTCAAGCCTGGCGTTTCCAGAGGACCTTTGCAAGCATTCTCTCTCATTCAGCCATTTGAAAAATGGGCGCAAGCAATTTGTTTCGTTGCCGTGCTTTTCTTGCATAAATTTCCAAGCAAAGGCAATCCTTGGCATTCTCTGGTCAGTGCCCTTGGCTTCCTGAGGCCCAGACATGCAGGTCAGGCCCAAGGGCAGTCCACTAATCCTTCTGCTCCACTACCCTTTTCCTTTCCCTGCTTGCTTGCTCCCTCCCTGCCCGATGGGCACTTGCCCGCTTCTGGGAGCCTCCTCAGGCACTAGGGCTGCAGTTCCTGAGCGGTGGGCAGCGGAAGGGAAATCCTGGCACCCGCTGTGCATTGTTATTTGGTCTCCCGTTGTTGCTGCTGGTGAGAAGCCCCTTCCCTCCTTGGGCCTTGGCTTCCTCCAGCTGCTGAGCTTTCCCTCCTGGCTGCTACCTGTGAGGCTACTTTACCAAGCCCTGGGTTAAGTACACTGAGCCAGTTGGGGGGGTCTCAGCTCCTAGGCTCTCAGAGTTAGGGAAGCTTGAGCTGGACACAGAGCTTGGACGACTGATAGGCTCTGACCTGCTTGGGGCCCCCCAGAGACCCACCTCCCCACCCATTCCCACCCCCACCCCTGACGTGGGCAGCAAGGTAACCTTCGTGGGTGGCTTTGCTTCTCCCTGCCTCATTTTGTCTGCTGTGACCCAAGGACAAAGCTGAGGCCCTAGCCTCCGGGGACGTTTGGAGGTGGAAAGTCACCCCTACCCTGGGATTTGGGTTGGGCCTTGGGGGCTGGGAGGGCACAGAGGAAAGGCTGCTCTGCTCAGCAGGGGCCGGTGCTGCGTGGGTGGAGACTCGGCCTGGCCCTCGAAGACCCTTTGGTTCTTCCCTTCTCCACTGCTCCCGGCGCAGTGCGATCCCTTCACACACAACGCCCGCCCTCAAGCCTTGGCAGAGCTGCGCTCTCCCCGGCGACAGCTTGCCTAAATGCGCGCAAGCCTCACCTCCTCCGCGAAGCTTTCCCAGGTTTAACTCCATCACTTCCAACCACTCTATTTGGCAAATGCTCCAGCTTTTTCTTTTTTTAATGTGCAATGTGGCCTCATTGCTTGGGGTAATAATGTTGGGGGTAGGTGTCTATCTCCAGAGCCCTAATTCAGGACTTCCAGTGCATTCTGAAGGATGTGATGGATGGGTTTGTTGCCTCGCTCACCAACCACTCCCACTCTCCCAGGCTTCCCCGCCGGAGTTCATTTTTTTCCGCCTTCTCCCAAGTACTCTCCTCTTCACAGAGTGTCCCACAGTGGAGTACACACTCCGATCCCCACCCTCTTTTCATTCTACAGGTGCGGCAGGTGTGAGGGGCAGAGAGCATTGAACTCGCTAAGCTTTGCAAACTCCTGGCCCGGCCACCGACTTTGCTGTACGTCAACGCCTTATCCTGGACCTTAGTTAAATCGAGGCAAAATGAGATAACGCTCAGGAAGGTCCTGCAGGTTCTGAGGTAAGAATCACCTGCTGACAAGCTGGTCAGTGTCTTCCTCCGTGACCAGTCAACTGTGACCCCAGAGAGGTGGCACCGCTGCGCTCTCCTCCAGCTGTGCCAGCATGTGAGTGACAAGACCGTAGTGAGTTCTGCCGTGCAGGGCCCCACCAGGGAGGGAGGGAGGATGGGGTTTGATCCTGTCTCTTTATTCAGCCCGAGACACTGCTTCCTCTAGGCCTCAGTTTGCTCACCTGGAAAACAGGAGTAAAAGTGGATGGAAGGCGAGGACGAAACTTGTCCCCGAGTCTGTAGAAAAATAAATGATAATGAGGGCTTGGCAGCAGATTTTGCTCGCCAATTCTGACCCCACCTCCTCCACAGAGGGGTTTTGGCTGGCGTCCTCCGAGTTTTTCCGGATGAGGTACTGCCCACCCCGCCCCACGGTCTATCTGCTGAGCCGGAGCTAGTATTAGGTCCACACCTGTTATTGCCTCCGCGTGGCACGAAGTGACAGGGTGGCGCGATGTTCCTGGAGAAAAGGTTGGTCGTGAGGCTGGTCTAGGGGAGCCGGTCTTGGGGAGTTGGGCTTGGGGAGCTGGGCTTGGGGAGCTGGGCTTGGAGCCGGTGGGCGGGGCTTGGGGCGGGGCCGGTCGACGAGGGTGGGGCTATGGAGATGAAGCATTCTCTGGAACTCGGCGGGGGGCGCAAAGGGCTCCCCAGTAACCAGCTCGTTCTGGCGCTGGGATCTGGGGCTCTGGCTATGGGGGTGGGAATCCGGGGCGGGGCTTAGTCCTGGGGGAGAGACCCGGGAACCTGGAGGTGGGGCTTGGGGAGCTCGCCCCACGCGGGGCGGGGCTCCAGCCGCCGCGGGATCTGCAGTTCGGACTCCCCGCGCCACAGTCGCCGCAGTCCCCTCCACTCTGGTGGCCCCGCGGCCCTGCGGGGATTCCCGGGACCAGCTGGCCACACTGTCTTGGCGCGGGGCCCGCCCCGCCTCTCTCTCCCTCGGTGGGGCCTAGACGGCCCGAGCCGCGGGGACATGGAGCCCTCTCCAGCCACCCGGGGCTCGGAGACCACTCGGCTGGTGAGCCCCCGGGACCGCGGCGGCGCCGGTGGCGGCCTGCGTCTGAAGAGGTAGGACAGACTTGGGCCAGCCCTCGGCCGGGGGCACCACCTTCCTGCCATCGGTCCACTTCGTTCTCCCCCATGGAGCGACCCTGGCTCCAAGCCCCAAGCATTCCGCGACTTCTTCGGCTTCCCGGAGTCCGGCTCCGTCCCCGGTCGCCGCCCGTAACCCGGCAGCCCCACCCCGGACGCTCGGTAGCCCGCTGCGCCTCCCGCCAGCAGCCCCGGTCCTCCCGGTCCTGCGAACGGGCTCCCGGGCTCGCCCTCACCCTCCGGCCCTCCGCCCCCGCCGCGTCTGACTTCCCGGAGAGCGACTGCCCCTCCGTCGGGCCGGAGTCGGCGCCAGGTGCCCCGATGTCCGCCTTGCTTCGGGCCGGGCGATGGGAGCATCTCGCCACCCCGGTTTCCAAGCCCACCTGCAGGCCCCCGGCCCTTCCCTCCGCGCGCCCGGGCTCGGGGCGCCCCTTCCAGCGGCGGCCAGGTGTGGGGACCGCGGTGGGAGATGGACTCGGTTCCGCGGCGCGTTTCCTGGCCCCTCGCGGGCGGGCAGCCGCCGGGAAGCGAGGGGGCGGCGAGGAAGGAGCAGGTGCGGTCTGGGCGGCAGGGGGTATTCCCGGCTCCGCACAGACGGGGCCGGGGGCGGCGAGGTGTGAAATGAGGCGCGCGAGCGGCCGGGACAGAGGGCCGGGGGCGGCGGGAGAACCGCCTCCGCGTCCCGCCGGCCTCCCGCGCCCGCAATCCGCTACCTCCGTCCTCCTGGTCCCTCCAAGCGGCCGCGCCAGGCCCTTCCCAGCCACCCCAGCTGGCCATTTTGTCTGTGGACTGACCGTCCGTTTGTCTCCGGAATTGGACGGGATCTCAGGCTTTTTCTCTTTCCTCATCTCTCCCAATCTTTTCGTTTCCCTCCCGGCCCCTCTTCCTTTGTCTCTGAGGTGGTACCTCTCGGTGTTTCTGGCTCTTTCCTTGGATGGGGACCTTAAACTGGGCTGTAAACCTGGGTGAGTGGGTGGGTGGGGGAGAGGGGGAGCAGAAGAAAGGGAGACACCCGGCGGGACCCCTGCTGAGGGGATGCAGACAGGGGCAGCTGTGGGGGCTCCAGCCGGCCCTGGCGTCTCCACAGAGTCTGCTGACTGCTCCAGGCCAGTCTCCCTTCTGCCTGCTCCATATTTGTTGCTTGTTGGGGATTCAGAGGGGTAGGGAGAGGAAACTGCCTTTCCTTCTCTGCTATAGCATATCCCCCCCCCCCCATCATACACACATCCACACCCACTCACACACCAACAATGAGGCTGCTTTAGTGCCCGATTCATGCAGAACAAAAGGGAGCAGCCTGTTGATGGGTGGCCGCTTGGGTGGCTGGCTCCCGTTCCTGCCAGGCCCACTGCCCCAAAGCCACCCGCCTCCGGTCTTGAGACCCACGGCTCTGTCTCCCAGCTCATCATCCTTCTCATATGACCATTAGTCACCAAATCCTGCAGTATTTTCTCAAAGAGGCGCTCCCCTACCTACCTGCCCTTCCTTTAAAATTCTGCACAGGAAGCCTCTGGCCTGATCTGATCTGGACCCTCCACCTCCGTGCCCCTCTTCCTCCCAGACTAGTCCATCAGCAAGGTCACGTGCACACCAACCAGTGTCTCTCCCTTTGCATTCCTCTGAACCCATCATTTCCCTCGCAGCACCCCCCTCCCCTGTTTCTCACACCTAAGCGCCAAACCTCATATCTTGTCTTTCATGTGTCTGGGGCCCCCTTCACCCCTGGGCCTTGTCCCCTCCGTGAAGTTCTCACCCCCTTTAGAATTGGTCATTGTTTTCCCTGTGCCATGAAGTCCTCTGTGCTGGTAACCCTCCTGGCACCCGTCTCTTCTTGCATATTAAAGTTGGCTGTCTCACATTTCTCTTGCCTACCAGACTGGGCTTCAATGTGTGCATGGTTCCTGGTGCACCTTCTGGAAAGCCCCCCTCAGATCCCCATCTCCTCAGGAAACACACCCAGCATCATCCACACCCAGATCCTAAGTGTTGGGAGGGCGATTGAGATTAAGAAATTAACCTGCCTATCCACTCTTGCATTTTCCCTCCAAGTACCAAATGTACCCCCCTGCCACACACCCACACACCTCAGCTGGCCCCACCTTCAGCCAGAAAGCCCCAGGTCCCCTCTACTTCCCATGTGGCCACATTTCTAGCTGGAGCTGTCATTTCCGGTTGGGTGCCCTTGCCGCTGGCTGGCATTGTGTTTGGGTCCTTTATTGTGTGCATGGTTCACTCCCTGCTGGGGTTCAGCTTGGGTGGGCGAGGCAGTCATGGAGTGCAGTATTGGGCCTAAAACTGCGTCCGCTTGAGCTCAGGCTCTGGCATCCTCCTCCTTCATGTGCTGGGGGAGGCTGTGGCCCTGGGCAGGTCAGGCGGCCTCTGCTGGCCGTGTAGTCAGACAGGCTACCCCAGGGCTCCAGGGGACTCCAGGCCGGTGCTCCCCACCCTGCCGTGCCCAGACACAGCAGTCTGGACTCCGTCCTCCCCATGACAACCCCAGTTCCGGGATCTGGCCCTTAGTCCGCTGGTCAAGAACTCCCGCTCTGTGGGTGCCAGCCAGCATTCCTCCCCTGCCTTAAAGGCCACGTGTCAGCGGCACGAGTGGAGAGAGATGACAGGCCTGGGCGCAGAGGACAGGAAGGTGGGCCTGGGGGGACACTGAGGCCCTCGTGTTCTCGAGTCCAGCCCCGCACATCACGCCACCCTTCTTGCCTTCGTTGGTGTGTTCATGCCTTTAGCGAAATCCTCCCGGTCTTCCAAGGCCCTTTCCACAGTTCCCCTTTCGGTGGTTTCCCCGTTTCCTCGGAACCACCCTGAGCCCTGACGGCACTTTGTTTTAATGGCTCCAGGAGCAGCCCCTCCGCCACACATCCCAGTGAGCAGGGACAGCTCTGTCTTGTCACCCAGATCAGAAAGGGTCCCGCTCTCCGCGAACGCCCTGGAAATGGGGCCTGCCACACCAGTTGATGCCGTCAGCTCTGCCCCACTGGCTGTGTGCGGCCATCGTAAGGCCTCCCCACCTGCGCCTCAGACTTCCAGTTCCTTTAATGAAATGCTGTTCCAGGCCACCTCTCCGGTGCTTCCCAGCTGTGAATTCCATGAAAGGGAAAGGGCGGTGGGACACAAGCTGCACCTTGGCCCCCATCTCCCCGTGGACCTCCCCCATGGCTCTGGGAAGTAGTGGGAGCTGGGCCCTGACCCACGGAGGCCTGGCCGAGAGGAGCAGGCCAGCCGTGGCCAGGTCCAGCTTGAGCTGTGCTGCCCACCTTAGTCTCTTCACAGAACCCTCCGAGGCCGTCTCTGAGGAGCCCAAGCCTGTGGAGGTGCCCTTCCACCTCTGCCACCGGGACCCCCTGCCGCAGCCAGGCCTCACCCCCGAGAGGCTGCAGGCACAGAGGCAGCTGTGTGCCGCCTGTGCCGTGTGCTGCGTCTTCATGGCCGGGGAGGTGGTAGGTAAGTTGGGAGCAGTTCCTCCTCCAGCACCTCTGAGCCACTGTCCACACGCAGCCCAGGGAGGTTGGGGTGGCGTTTGGGGGAAGCTGGGGCGGGGGGGTTGGGCACCCAGGACTCAGAAGTAGGAGAGGGCTGCAGACAGCCAAGGGGAGCTCAGAGCCAGGCCAGAAGACCAGGGCACCTGGCCTTTTCAATGTCTGGTTTTCCTGTTTTCACAATAAGTCATTGTAGAAAAACTAGAAAATGTGATGACTGACTGAGAAGAAAATAAAAACTACCTGGTGGGAAAAAATGTCCCATCTCTGGAAAAAACCATAGTTCATGTTTCGGCGTGTGTCCCCCGTTTGTTTTCGCTACCCCCACCCCACGCCCCCAGCCCCACCCCGCCATGCTTGCACACTGCATGGTGTTTTGTAAGTGCACCCAGACCCGTTGTCTGCCCTTGCAGGTGGTTACCTGGCGCACAGCCTGGCCATTATGACCGACGCGGCCCACCTGCTGGCTGACGTGGGCAGCATGATGGGCAGCCTCTTCTCCCTCTGGCTCTCCACCCGGCCAGCCACCCGCACCATGACCTTTGGCTGGCACCGCTCAGGTACGGCCCCTGCCTCCCCTGGGACGTTCCTGTCTGGCCAGAGGATGCCCAGGGTCCCAGGCAGGTGTCTGACGGCTTGTCTCCCCCTGCAGAGACTCTGGGGGCTCTGGCCTCTGTGGTCTCCCTCTGGATGGTCACTGGCATCCTCCTGTACCTGGCCTTCATTCGCCTGCTGCACAGCGACTACCACATCGAGGGGGGGGCCATGCTGCTGACCGCCAGCATTGCAGTCTGTGCCAACCTGCTGTACGTGCCAGTATGGGGCAGGCATCGTGGGGCTCAGGACAGGGGCGTTCTGCGAGATGGGAGAGCGTGCACCCCGGTTCCCCGGCAGACGTGCAGTGTGCACCGCTGTTGTCAACTGTCTGCCTCGGGAGCTCCCGACAAGGGCCTGGGCTGAGACAAGGGGCAGGAGGGCCCGGCTGTCTACAGCCACTCTGGTGGCAGGGCCAGGGATCTGTCTCTTCAGTAGTGCCTCAACCCACCCCACGAGCTAGACACTTTGGCGCTGAGTTTACAATTTGTGGGATTGATCCTGAGAGGTGCCAGGAGACTGGCCCAGGCCCGTGGCTAATTAAGCAGGAGGGCCAGTGATCGGAACCCAGGTCTCCAGCGCCAAGCCCAGTCTTCTTTCCTCGGGCCGCACTCCTGGTCTCACTTGCGCAGTGTGGTCTTAGCAGGACGGGGGTACAAGGAAGTAGGTTGAGTCAGGGCTCTTGGGGAGGGGGGAGGGGGCCAGAAGGAGGCCCTGCTGACTGCCGCTTCACCCTCAGAATGGCCTTTGTGCTGCACCAGGCCGGCCCCCCCCACAGCCATGGGTCCCATGGGGCAGAGTATGCACCGCTGGAGGAGGGGTCCGGGGAGTCCCTGCCCCTGGGGAACACCAGCGTCCGGGCAGCCTTTGTGCATGTGCTGGGGGACCTCCTGCAGAGTCTTGGGGTGCTGGCTGCCTCCATTCTCATCTACTTCAAGGTACTGTCTTGTCCCGTCTGTGCAGGCCCACCCCAGCCCTCCTCCCCAGTTGCGTCCCAGCCCCTTCCCGACCCGAAGCCTCCCTCCCCAACCCCCTCCTTAGGGTTCCTGGTCCCTTTCCTGCAACTACAGTCCCGAGCTCCAGATGCCCCGAGAACTTCCTTGGAAAGCTCCCTGGTTTCTGGGCTTAGGGGTTCTTCTCTGCAGCCTCAGTACAAGGCAGCCGACCCCATCAGCACCTTCCTCTTCTCCATCTGTGCCCTTGGATCGTCAGCTCCCACCCTGAGAGATGTTCTACGCGTCCTCATGGAAGGTGAGTCAGACACCACTGCCCCCGAACCCTGGGGCCTCTTTGATCCCACTCCATTGCTGGGTCCCCTTCTTTTGTCTGCAAGGAACATGGGGAGGAGGCCTGGGGCCTTCAGGCCTAGGCTGGTAGGAAAACTCAAGTACAGGGTGACTGGGGGGGGGCCAACAGGATGAGCAGGTTGGGGGGAGAGTCGGGGGGGCTTCCCCGGGCAGGAAGTACAGGCAATAAAGCATGTGGGTGCTATTTGCAGGTACCCCCCGAAATGTGGGGTTTGAGCCAGTGCGGGATACGCTGTTGTCAGTGCCGGGAGTCCGGGCAACTCACGAGCTGCACCTGTGGTCACTGACGCTCACGTACCACATTGCCTCCGCGCACCTGGCTGTCGGTGAGTCACCCCGCGAGCTCTTCGGCTTCTCCCCGGCCTCTCACCCCCATGCAAATACAGGGAGGTAGCTGGTTACTGGGCTTCTTTCGGTCCCTCTTTCCTTCTTGGCCTCTATCTCCGTCTCTCATACACGCACACGCGTGCTGGAGAGGAGCCCTGGAAAGGGGCCTCACCCCTCTGAAGTGGTACGGGGAGCCAGCAACCCTTTAAGAGATCAGCAGTGCCCACAGGCCAGCAAGGCACAGCCAGGTAACTCGCAGCAGCTCCGCTCAGTGGGAAATCATGTAGCTATTAAAAACGATGATTATGAAGACTGTGTGGCAACTAGGAAAAATGTTTATGGTATAAAGCTAAGAGAAAAAAGCGGGATGCAAAATTATATCTACATTATGATTCAACTATCAAAAATATATATGGTGACTCACAAAGCTGACAAAGGATTTTTGAGTTTCTTCCAGATGCAAGAAGCAATCAGAGAGATGCAATTTGGATGCCAAAAATATTATAGTCTGTGGGATAGCTGATGGTGACTCTGGATGGGACAATGGGCAGAATATTTAACATCTGGGTTTTCCTGGAAAATTAGGAGGTTGGGCTGCTGAGACACGGGCCGCGCAGACAGGAGGGAACAGCACAAACGGGAACCGTGCTGTGTGCTGGCACGGTCCACTGGGGGAGTCTCCCGAGCACCTTCTTTGACTTTCCCCCTGCTCATACAATACAGGCGGAGGAGACCCTCTGTTCCCTGCCCCCCTCCGCCTGGCTTTAAAGCTGTGCAGGCCCTTGGTAGCCCTTCCCAGCCCTTATCTCAGCCCCTGCCTGGCTCTCAACTCCCCTGGGACGCTGCTGCCTCTTATCACTCTCCCACAGACCCCACGGCTGACCCCGAAGCTGTCCTGGCTGAAGCCACATCCCGGCTGCACTCTCGGTTCGGATTCTCCAGCTGCACCCTGCAGGTTGAGCAGTACCAGCCGGAGATGGCCCAGTGCCTGCGCTGCCAGGAGCCCCCCCAAGCCTGAGCCTGGGTCCCACCCACCCCACCCCACTGCCAGGGCCAGGCTCTGCCTGGACTCCCGCCTGCCTCCCTGCTCACAGAGAAGGGGCAGAGCCGGGCTCAAACCCTTCCTCTCTCCTTCCTACCTGCAACTCCCAGCCCCCAGCCCTCACAGGCAAGACCAAAGTGTGTCAGGGACTCAGGCTGAACAGGTGTGGCCAGTTCCAGAGCAGGGGATCCTGAGCCTCGATGCAGTGGGGGTGGGAGGGGTCGCCTTTCCCCACGGCCCAGAAGCCGCTAGTGTCCTTTCCGTGCAGTTCATCTGTCCGTGTGGCAGGCTGGCTGGCTGGGGGCATCTGCCTGTCGTGTGCTGTGGGTGTGCCTACGCCCGGGGAGGTCGCGGGGCGCCTCCCCACCGGCCCTTGCGCTGTCTATGCAGGAGCCCCAAAGCTCGCACCTTGTCTGTGTGTTCTAGCCCTGTGGTTTCGTCTGTGTGTGTTTCTTGGTGCTGTGGCCTGTGTGTGTCTGTGCCTGTGTGGCTGTGCTATGGTCTCTGTGGGTCTGCGCCATCCCTGTGTCCGTCTGGGGGTGTGTCTGTCCGTCCTCTTTTGGTGCTGTGCCCTCGGCTTTCCCAGAGAGAGGGAGGACTCCACCACAGCTCTGCCAATAAACTTGTGTCTGATGCACCTTTTGGCCGCTTCACTGACTCCTGAGGAGGGGCGCAGGGTCCCTCACGTGGGAACTGATGGACCCTCCCCTGGGGTGCCCTTCCACTGCCCCCCTGCCCCTTTCCCTGCATCGCCCCCCAAATATCCACTCCACTGTGGGCTAAACCCCACCCTTCTCTTCCCCACCTGCCTGACTTCACAGGAGCCTTGGCTCAGGAGACCCCCATGTTCCTGGGCTCAGTTGCTGGAGAAAGCTGGAAACAGGGACCGGGATGCTGGACAGATGCTCCCAAAGGCTCCCTGTGGTGCTGGGGGAGCTGTGTCCCCGTTGGGGGGAGCGGCTGGGCCACAGGCTCGACTCATGCTGTGTGCGGTGGGCCCGGGGGCCCAGCACGCGCCCAGCAGGTCCATGTCAGGCTCCCCGCTACGCCCCCTTTGCTTTGAGAATCCTGTACTTGGACAGATTTGGTCCCACAAAGTAGTTTCGTGAAAGGACTGTTTGTTGATTTTTCTTTCCAAAGATCATAACACTTTGTACTTCGCTTTTCGACCCGGTGCTGTGTGTGAGGGTTCACTGGCTCCCACCCTGGCTTGATAGAACTCAACCAGGAGCGGACCGTGAGCGTTTTCTTTAGCCGAGGCCCGCCCACACCTGGGAAAATATCTTTCTTATAACGGCAGTATATACTTGTTTTAGGAGCCCAACAAAGGAAACGTGGAGAGAGTAAATATTTCCTGTGTGATCTCACGCCCAGAGATAACGGCTGTTCACAGTCTGGAGTCTCTCCCGTCCGCACTCTTCAGTCTGTGCGAACACTTCTCGTAATGACCTGCATGCGCTCACTTATAGGTGAGACCGTGTAAGCTGCGTCTGTGACTCAGCCGTACATCCTGGGTGCGTCTTTCTTCATCGATACATATAGATTCCACTCTTGATTTTCAGGTGAGAGTTTAGACTCCTTAAAAATGGGCCTCCACACTCTGCTCTCCAGCTGGGGGCCCAGGCCCCGGGGGGATGAGCGGCCGCCCGCCTGATGGCCCACACCCCGTGTGGGAGGCCGGCAGGGCTGAAGGACTGGCAGTCCATCACGGGAGGCTGCCCCAGCTGCTGGCCATGCAAGGCTAGTTCCTGGTACTTTCTCATTTTACGTCTCATTGATTACAGACCCCAAGGGACAGGATGGGGGCTGGGAAGAGTGAAGGGGAAGGTGGAGAAAGAGAGAACTAGATTTCTACCAGATGAAAGGCCTTAGGCTGGGGCCATTTGTAGGGCAGAGACCTCACGCGGCCTGTGGCCCGTCCCCTACTGGACACCCCGGCCAGGTAAGGAGGAAGGAGCTAAGAGGGAAAAGAGTTCCCCGAGGTCACCCTGCTGGGGCTGGGGGGCGCTGAGGCTTATGGGCCCCTCTGAAACCTGGTCTCAGCACACCTTTTCTGGCCTCTTCCAGAAACCTGCTGCTCTGAGCTCAGGTTCCTGGTTCTTCCTCCACTATCTTAGATGTTGGCTCCCAGCTTCCCGAATTGTAGAGGCATTCGGGCACTGTGGGCCTGAATGGGCTGGTATCACAAAGGCCGGTAGGAAAGGGTTAACTTATGGGGGGAAATCCAGATGCAGGGAGGGATTTCAGGGTAGCCCAGCACCCTGACAGCAGGGCAGGAGCCAATATGTATGGCTCTGACACTGGGCACCAGGGCTGGGAGGTGGACAGGTGGGCTGCACCGGACAGATGGGGAAACTGAGGCCTCGCTGCCTGAGGCCCGAAGAGCCGAGCACTGTCAGAGCTGAGATTCACGCTCAGCCACGGCTGTGCTCAGCCCCCCTGCCGGGCGGGCACGGGTGGGCGGTGTCCTCTAGCTGCCGCTGTCAGGAGGACGTCAGGACCGGAGGGTCAGGCACTCTGCCTCATTCAGGAGCCAGCCAGCTCCTTCCCAGGGGAGGCCAGACCCTTATCTGCAGGAGCTGCCTGCTTCTCCCTTTTATTCCCGGCGCCCCACCTCTCCCCTACTCAGGAGCCCCTTTCTTCTTGGCGCCCTTCCCTCCTGGTAAGATGTGTGATGGAGGGAGAGGTGAGCTGTAGGGGCTCAGGGGAGGCAGAGGAAGAGCAGAGCCCCCATCCATCAGCCCAGGCGACAGCTCCTTCCATAGCTGATTAACCAGGGCGGAGAGGGGAGAGGCCCAAGGGAGAGAGGGGGCGTCAGAGGAGGGTGAGGTGAGACGGGGGAGACAGGCTTGTCCACTGAAGTGCAATTGTAGGGAGGCCAAGGAGCACAGAGAGGCAGGTGGTGGGGAAGGAGGCGCCAGAGGCCTGTGCTGCAGACTGGGTAGGGGAACCCCCAGGCGACAGACCAGCCCACTTCTGCCTCCCCTCACTTGGGGCGCTGCCCCTATCTGAACGCGAAGGCAGGGGACCCTGTGGGCAGCCTTTTTGGGGTCAAGAGGGAGAAGGTGAAAAAGCAGAGCCCCCCCTCCTTCCGGCCAGTGGCCCCTTCAGACATCCCTCACCCGCTGCCTGGAGGAGAGCTTGGAGCTGCCGCTCTGGGTCCCAGGCCCCCTCAACTGTGCGGCTACTGCCACCTGAAGCCAGGGTAGGGGAGTGCGGCTGGTGGCCATTGGCCTCCGCAGCTATCACGTGCAGTGGGTGTGGGGCAGCGCCTGATCACCGACACCTGAGCCTGGGTGTGCGCATGTGCAAGCGTGCACACCTGTGCCTAGCAGGGAGGCCAGGAGGACCCCAACAGCGACAACAGGCTGAGCAAGAGCTACAGAGGCCGCAGCCGCCAGAGAAGGCCCGAGAAGGCCCCGAGAACCGAGGTACAGTGACTCGCGGGGGCCGCTGTCCCTCTGCAGCCTCCGTGACGGCTCCAAGGGCTTCAGAGTCCCCTGCAAACTGCTAGATCAGGCGGTGAGCCTGCTCGACCTGGGGCGGCTGCGGATCCGAGGGAAAAGGCCCAGCCAGGCTGGTGCTCCCACCGGCACCAGTGTGGAGGCCACGTGGCGCCTCCGTCCCGCACCAGAACCCCCACTTCCGCGGGAAGACCCACCTGGTCAGCTCTCAGTCGCTACCTCCCCTCTAAGGAGAAGCACAGTGCAGCCTTCCCAGGCCTCCGGGCCCAGCTCAGAGCTCTGCTCCCAGGCAGGGCCGCGCCCCAGTTTCCGTTCCTTGGGGCAGAGCAGCCAGGAGAGCCCTGGTGGCGGGTCTCCAGTTGCACCCTCCTTGTGTCCTCTGGGGGCTGCGCCAAGTCTGAACACCCAACCCCACCCTCTTGTTCCCTTTGGCTCTAACACGAGCTATACGTCTTAAAAGGGCTGTAGCTATACGTCTAGGGAGAAACAGGAGAACCAGACCAAAGAAATACCAGAGAGCAAAGCTTGCCCCACGAAAAACAGGTACCCAGCCCTGTAACAGCAAACCTGCTTCTCCAGGCCTTCCCCACACCCCCCAGCCCTAGCGCACCCAGGTCAGAGGTGCCCTAAAGTTCACATGCCGCTCAGGAAGCTGCACCCAGCTCACGGCTGGCCCCCCAGTAACTGGTCGTGACTGCTGGTAGGGGCTGAGGGCAGCGGAGGTGCGAGCCCGCTGCCGGGGTGGGGTGGGATGGGGGTGGGGCCCCGGCCTAGAAAGGCCTCTTGGTCCATCGACCCCCACCAATGGGCCAACCAGCTGGAGCCTTGCAAGCGGACTCCCCAGGGCGAATCTACTTGGCGGCCACTGCCCAGCTGTCTCTGGGGGACCTAGACCTTGGGTCTTCCAGATAGGTGGCGTGCCGGTGGGCCCTCCCAGAGTCTGGCAGAGCTTCCCCGGAGCTCTGCTGGGCATCCCTGGGGTCACTCTCTTGCGGCTGGATTGCAACTGCCCCAGCCTCTTGGAGACTCTTCTCCATGCCAATTTTAATGCCTTCCCCCTCCCCGCTTAGGAAGGGCCCGATTCTAAACAGGCCCCCCCGGAGCCCCTGAGACCGGGGGTCTGTCTGCCCCACCACAGAGCAGCTGCTACTGTGGCCAAGCGCTGCCCCCGCTCCACTCCTGGGCCTAGGCAGGGCCCAGCGCCGCCATGCCTCTCCCCACCTCACACCTGAAGTTCTGGGCCTCTTTGAGGGAGGGCTCCCACCTGAGTTCTCCCGCCCACCTTTTCTGAGATTCAGGCTCTAACCTCTACGCATTTCCACCTTTTCTGAGATTCAGGCTCTAACCTCTACGCATTTCTCCTGCTTCAACAAATGTTTCCTGAGCACCTACTGTGTGCTCCCTACTGCTGGGAGTTGTTAGTGAGCTGAGTCCTGTCCTCGTGGCACTCACGTCACCACAGGTGACCAGCACATTTTGTTCCTTGTCCGCTTTCCCTGCTGGTTATCCCCA